CCCCAAAACCCCAAAACCCCAAAACCCCAAAACCCCAAAACCCCAAAACCCCAGTGAGTGTTGAAGGGATTGAAAAATTATGAGGTTGGAATTAGGTTTAAGAGATTTTAGGCAAAATTTGGTGCAGAGAGTGGGAATTTTAGACTTTGAACCGAGAAATTGGGTAGGGAGGTTGGGGAGTGAGTATGTTTGTAGGAAGATGTTTAAGTAAGCTGTCATGGCTCTAATTTGTAAGGAAATTTTTGGCTTTCAAGAGACAGTGCATAATCTAGTAACTTAGCTTATCTTAAAATGCAAAATTCTTCTGTAAACTTATTAAACCGAGAGCACTTCTTATGAAAATTTTAGGTATAAAGATTAACCACTCAATCTGTGAAGCTGATACTGTTTGAAACTGAATTGTTCTGCTGGAATGAATACATAGCTCTTCTTCCTAGCCTGGTGGGAGATGGTCTATAAGTAAATTATAATCAGCTTTGGTAAGACTATTCTCAAAGAGTATGAAAACTTACCTCTGAGAAGTCCCCCTACTAATCATTCCTGAGACCTTCAGTCTTTGAATAAGACGCTTATCTGCACTATATGATTAGAAAAGTAGGGATACTTGCTATCTCTTCTCGCGAAAGGTTTAGTTCTATATTATAAGTTAGGTCAGGACTTAAGAAGCTAGAATAAAATTTATAAACTTACCTGATTTCTCTCCGTCTCTTGATTACATTCAATGGAGATATGCTGGGAATAGTAGACAACTTCCTAATTTTATGAGTATCAGATGGTCAAATTTTAACAAATATTTGGGTAAAAGGAGTTCTTAAATACCACATCTTACACATTTTTCTGAACTATTAAAAATTTTAACTAACTCTAAAATTCCCAATTTACATTAAGATTCTGGGAAATTTAAATATTGTATGAAATCTTTTTTGTCGAAAGCTTAGTTGAATACTATTACATTTCATTAATGGACCGATAGTATAGCAGATGCAACTAATAAAAATGCTAAAGGCCGAACATAATATTTATGAACCAGACTTACCTTTTATAAGAAGCTGAAGCTCCCAAAGAGTTAGACACAGACCCTGTGTTTGTCCTTCCAAGTGGGATTTTTGGTAGTCTTAAGCCAGAATTTGTTGGAAACTTCTTCAACCCTGCAATAGACCTCTTAGATGCTAAAAGAGGCTTTCTTTTCTTTAATTTAATTATTTTGGATAATTTCGAACTCGAAGATAGTTTCTTTTCATTTCAGTTTTCTCTATTGGGTTTTAGTTGGAAAAGTAGGAGTAACTTACCTTATCTCTTTAGCAAAAAATTCATAGTCTTTGATCCTCCTAATCTTCTGTTCATTTGAGAATGGTAAATTTGTTTTCATGTTACAGTCATAGCTTAAATTCTCTAAGAAACCTATATTGGAAGTTATTAATGCAAGAATTGGTACATTCGTTGTTCACCCTCTCTTTTCTTTTGAGGATTAAGTTCTTTGGGGTCATCATCATGGTAATAATTTTGGGCTTGTATCTAAATCAATTTTTCTTTTCACCTAGATTGATTTAAAACTTCTCCTCATACCTATCTTCTTATCTAGTAACTCTTCTAACAGAATAGCCATTTCTGAAATTTCTCAATTAATTAATCTCAAATAGGGGTTTTGGGGTTTTGGGGTTTTGGGGAGATT